CATCACATCCGAAGTATAGAGGACTTATTTTAATCGGGCAAAAATTATCAATCCAGATTTATCAAAATTGAGAGGTTTTATGCGTAATCCATTCTGAAAAACTGGGCTTTGCAATCCTGTCCGTATGTCTGTGTGTCTGTGTGTCTGTCTGTCCGTGTGTAAACACGATAACTTGAGTACCGTTACAGCTAGGTTGATGAAATTTCATATATGAGTATTTTATCAAAATCGTAGATCCGTATCAACTTTTGAGCGATTTTCAATAACCGGAAGTGGTATTTTTTTTACATTGAATTTTTCATAAGCCTATAACTTGAGTACTATTTCAGATAGATAAATGAAATTTCACATGTAAGTAAAAGATCTAATTCTCTACCTTCTGTTAAATTTTGAGTAATTTCCGTTGACCGGAAGTACTAATTTACGCTACTTCCGATTTCTCAAAAAACTAATGTAAATTTTTAAAGTATTAATAATATTGCGCACTATTATGCACTTTTTTTATTTGGCGTTCACTTGGTGTGCAATTTTTTTGTTTACGAGATTTTATTCTATTTTTAAAACTTTAAGTATTTAAAATGGTTTAAAAATCATGTCTATAGCCCGAGTTCCCATCCCCTGTTGTTTTATATAAGAATATTCGAGAAAGTTTAGGGGAGATCACTCCCGGTTTATTTTAAACTGTTGCTATCACTGATGCTATTATGTAAACTAAGTTTGCTGTAAATTCGGTTCCGTCGACACAGCTGAGTTAATATGCATTGAGTTAATAGTTCTAAAAACGATCTTTTTTTTATATAGTTTTAAAACTGCTGCCAAACATAGGTGATATCGTGTAGTAGATTCGCTGGAGTCAATTTTGTTGCATTTCAGTCGGTTCTTTGATACTTGTAGTTTTTGGTGTCGACTTCGACGATAATTTGTCAGAACATCCTACTAATAATAATTTAAACTATCAGCACTCTCATTCTCTCTCCTCCCCTGTCTCTCTCTCTCTTCCTCTCTATATCTTTCTCTTTTTCTCTTTTTCTCTTTACCTCTGTATTTGAGTGAGTATTCTGTGTGAGTGCTTACAACTATTTTATCACACACATTCTCTACCCGACTCCTCTTCCTCCACCCCGACCCCTCCACACAGACCCCCTCCTCTCTGACCCCTCTTCCCCTAAATTCAAACTTCTTTTCCCGAACCCTACTAGATCTACTCAGTTTTCATACGTGTGCATAACGTGGAATTCAAATACCTGGATAAAAATCCGCCTTTTTTTTTCTTTTTTTTTTTTCGAAAACTGTCTCTACCCGTTACTTTATGTAGGCCATCGTCTGCCCCCGACACACACCTCTGCTCACCCCCCTCCCCGACACCCTCATCACCCCCCCCCCCCCCCACATCCTCCTTTCACCGTTACCGTTATCACCCTCGTGTTTTATTGCACTAATGTGAGCCGTGTGGGGACGTCATAAAACCGTTATTGTGTCCAGGCGCCCGTATGGAGCCTGTCTCTCTTCAGGTGAAAACTATGATGCCGTCATAAGCCACACCTGTACGGGCTGATGGTGTTTGAACCCGCGGGCTCTTCTACCTGCAGGTTCGGGATTTATGATTAGTGGCGGTAAACTACACGTAGAGGCAGTTGGTCCCGTCGCTCGTTAATTAATTATGTCAGCTAAACGTGATGGTCACGTGGGTTGATTCGTGAATTTTGATTGGTGATTTGCCTGCCAACACCTTCATGGTTCGTGCAAGCGAGAACAAAGACGGCAAACTACTTCATTATACGGCTGTGTCAAGTGTTTAGACATGGGCCCCGTGATTGGGACCCCTAATAAAAGTTTCTTTTTTTTTTAAAGTACTAGCACGAAACAACTACAATTTTTAAAATATTGAACAGATTAACTCTACTTCATCTGTCATGTGAGATATCTTAACTAGAAATAGTAGTAGACTTAGCTTATGATTAAACCAGTTTTTGACATTAGCTACAAGATGAAAAATGAAAATATAATGCCATCTTTTAGCGAGATGGGCCTGCCTGTGGAGATAAGTAACTAAGATAAAATATAAAGCCTTGCTTTAAGATAAAATATAAAGCCTTGCTTTAAGATAAAATATAAAGCCTTGCTCTAAGATAAAATATAAAGCCTTGCTCAGCAAGTTACCAAAGTTACTGTTTAGTTGTTTATAAAGATGTTTTTTAGCTTATTTCTTCGTACCTGACCAACCCCACTCCTTCCTACTCCCAAAACAACCCTCCGCACACTCGATGTCACTCCCTGCTGACTATCGACACCCTACCCACAATCCCTTATCTTTCCCTTCGGTGCACTCACACAAAGTTTCTACCTAGCGCCCTCTATCGTGTACTCGTAGTTTGATAACCACGAGAAACAAAAGCTATTACATCTTCAGCCATCATAAAGCGTTTATTAGTTGCTTTTTGTTATCTGTTGGGTGAAGGAGTGGGATAGAGACAACACGAGGGGCAGCGCTAGCTTCACTACACGAGCCGTGGGGCGAGGGCTGAGCATCTTCTTATCTCTTCTATCACTGAGGGTTTTCTACACTGCCAACACATGCATGCGTGTTGTGTGTTGTACTTACAAGTCACGTGATCTGGTCTTAAGAACCGTTACAGTTACCGTATCAAGTTTCATACTAGAGATGGCACTGGCATGGCCCTCTGGTCGTCGTATAGTGTATCACGTGACAAGGCGAACAAGGCAACTATTTTTATTTATTTTTATATTTTACATGTTTAACTAATTACATATTCACATTATCAAAAAAATCTTCAATTAAATCTTTATAGCAAATCTCGCTTCCAAATCATGCAACAAACCGCATATTCGCATTAAACAACAAATTCCATATTCAAAGTATAGAACACATGCCACAGTACAACAACCGTGAACGCTACAAATCCAACCTTACACCATTCCCCCCAATCACTATACGCAACATACTCCAGCTTGCAACAAATCCCCACTTTGTGTTCTAGACCCCTCGCCGTGTTTTAAGCTCCCTGTTGTTGTGACCGACTCTGCGACATCGAGTGCTATTGCCAAATATTTTGTAACCCCCCTACCGGTTTTTTTTTTTACATCCCACCCATCGTTCACCGTACACAACAGTTTAATGTTATGTCTTTACCTGTACCTTCTGCCCCGTGTTTAGCTCTGCCGTTTATCAAGGTAATTATCCCGATAAGTATTATGCATAAACAAACAGGTATTTTTAAAGCCGTTATTTTTTTTTTCTGACGTAGCTTGTTTATCTCTTTATTACTACGCCCATATCCATCCACTTTAGCCTAATAAACATTCAACTGTGTGAAGCTTCCGTGCGGCTATGTGAAGGCGGCTTGAAGAAAGAAAAAACTTCACTTGTTTTAAGTTACTATCATTACTGCAACAACAATTTGCCGATTTTTATTATTATTTATTTATTTTTGTAGGATCCCCACTTGCACCCCCACACTCTTTCGTGAACTACTTCCACCTTCCGGAAAAAACCAAGCAACTATTATCACACAATACTCAACCACCTATCCATCTTTGAAATTCACAATACAGTCACAATACTATTGAAACCTGTCACACCTTGTAAAAAAACAATACAAATAGCCATGGAAAGGGAAGTAATAACCGCAATGTGTATTGTGAATACAGCCCTCATATTCTCTTTATCAGGTTTTAATATTATTTTAACAAAAATCTAAAATAATCTTTAACAGATTCATTGGGGTTATATCTATCTAATTCTTTCTATTTTAAACTAAATTTTCGCCCCGCCTTTGCTATATTTACATCTCTTTAGAAGTTATGTACTCGGTAATCAACACCGATTTACTCAATCGATCTGTATCACCATCCAGACAATTAGCATTAGATTTCCTATCCTGTTCGTGTGCCGACACTCGACGAGCCTGCGAGTGAAGACGAGTGCTGTAATCTGCATACATTCGTGTGCAGAGTGAACGCCCTTTGATGAACTACAAGTGCTTCTTTTCATATATTTCTCTTCACTTCGGGGCCAATTTGTGTTATTGGTCTCTCCCCTCCTCCACCCCCCCCCCCCCCTTACATGCGTATTTTTTTGCCGCGTGTACAAAATGGCTTGTCTCATAAACGTATGTGTAAAAACTCTTCTATTTTCAACCCCCATCCTCCTAATGTTTTTTATGATACATTGTATTAATGGTTTACTTAGAGATTCCTAGGGCTCAATAAAAAACGCAATAATGTCCACTTTATCTGGGCACGAGGGGGGCGTGTCCGACAGGCGGTCTGCAGACGACATTTCTCGGCGCCAACGTTGGGGTCTTGTGGAAAACGATCCAGAAGACTCGTCTGCTGTCCAACGGCTTCCTTATCGGAGTCAGTTAGGGTCGGTACGACTCACCCCGAGTTAACCGTATGGTTGTCGTTAAAGCCTCCAGTTTGATGCTCACAATTTTATGGAGGGAGCAACAGTAACATTTTACAGGCGTAACAATTTTGTTGGCTTCAGACTTTTATTAGGTCGACCTTTTTATATGGGTACCGTTTAATGGGGTAGTATTTTTTTTTACTTAGGTAACACTATCTGATTGACACTTTAAATATTCTTAGTACTTAGGGTAACATTTCATTCAGTCGTGAAGCCACAGAAACCAGTGAACCGTAAACCTCTTCTTGTAGTAGTAACTTCTGAGTTTTTTAAGTAGATATAAAACTTATTAGATGGAGACCCTATTCTTTGAAGCATTTTTACAAAATTTGCTGTAATAGGGTTGGTAAGTAGGTCACCATCCAGTTCTACGGCTCAATAAAACCTGCATGCGCAATGGAACTGGTTGGTGACCTACTTACCAGCCCTATTGTTCGCACAATAATTTTTACAATTTTTTTTTCACTGCTAATACTATAGGAAGTATTTGTGTTACAAAATGTGTATGTCGTGAAACTATAATTTGATGAAAACTTCAGTCCGACTGACCGATGTGTTGTTGTGTTTGCAGAAGCCAGCTGTGCGGTGTACGGACGAGCGGTCAAGGATTACGCCAACGTCTACGACCCTGGGAGTCTGGCCTTCAAAGAAGGGGACATAATCACGGTAATGAGACACACGTGTCTTGTGTCAGTGTGTCTGCTGATCACACATGTCTTATATATGTCTGTGTCTGCTCGTCCTTTCTTCCATCACACGTACGCGTATCTTGAGTTATCACCTATAAATTCCCCATCAATGCATCATTCTAGCCCCACATTTATAACTTTCACCTACTGACTCATCTACCCTCGTCTGTTTCCTCGGCAATCAGTTCATTTTATCCCACGAGGGAAGTTTTCTCATTGTGCCCCATTGCCTCACATTATAACTACGTTATTTTTTTTTTTTATTCCAACACACCCCATAACAACCTGAATCTCCACGAAACCTTTGTAGCATAGATCAAGTTTTTAAAAAAAGTTATCCCCCTGATCCCGTGTCTCGCTATTAACGTCATTACAACATTCTTCAGAGGAAAAAAAAGGCCTCCGTGTATGTTGTTTAAAAACTCAAATCAAGAATTTTTTATTCTTGGTTATAAATTGAATTCCGCTCTAATACCACTGAGTGCTGCGGCTGATACAGTAACATTCCACGCTAGTAACTTCAGAGAGTAACATCAGAATCTTGTTAACGTCCCGTCGTGCTCTATACGGCCCTCGTGTTACGCTCGCGGTCTGCGCTGAAGTCGTGGTTGGGGGGTCCATTCATGTACACTGATGGATGTCCAAGCAGTTCTCAAAAAAAAAACACCGTAGCGGAGGTGGGGGGTCCATTCATCTAGAGAGACTGATGTCCAGTATCTATGTCCATGTCGGACATGTAGACTTTGCGGCGGTACAAACAAGTGATAGTCCGGTGCTTGATATGTTACACTTGCGGGAGCTTTCTCCCCTCGACAGCTCCTCGTTAAAACCAGGTCTTGATTCCCAGTCTGACATGACTTAGCTAAATGTACTATTTTAACCCTCGGCAAGCACGTGCCAACTACAACACACGAGTCTCGTTTTAAGCCTTGTTCTTTATTCAGTTGTTTTATCAACAAAATATCACTGCTTGAATTTTTTAAAATACAAACGCGGGACCTTTTAGATATAGAGTTTGAAAAACATGGCTTTGGTAACTTCTTTTAGGAAGCCTCGAGTATGAGTGGGTTAAAGACCGATACAAACAACAGCTAAAACAAGATGACACTTAGAAATAATATGCTGATATCTAGAAGATCATTTAAACTATGGCACCAAGAGCTGGTTCTAGCGAAGCAAGAACTACTGCAATGGGCACCATTGTAAGCCATGTTAGGGCGACATTAAGACTCAAGGTTTGGGCACCATTGCAACCTATGTTAGGGTGACACAAAGACCCAAGGCAAGATTTGGGCACCAGGAACTAGGGGCACCATTGCCATACTTCGTCCTGGTCACTCGACAGACTAGTGCCACTGGACAAGATGGATAGCAAAATTTTAATCATAACTGTACAAACTTAAAGTATTAATTATCGCATCCACATATTTTATGTGGTTAGGATTAAACTTATTTGCTGAAGTATCGATACTAGTAAACCAAGAACTACGGCAATGGGCACCATAGCAACATATATTAGGCCGACACAAAATGGATAACATAACTTTAAGCGTAACTTTACAAACATTAAGGTATTGATTGTCGCATCCACATAACTACATAACCGATAGGGTTAGGATTAAACTTATTGGCTGAAATGTCAATACCTGAAACACTAGAGATTTGATTATAGGATGCTATCGTCACCCATTATCCCTTGCTGGGGTCGTGTTGGGCCCCACAGTTGATTTTCTCATAATTTTCCGCCACCAGTCTCTGTCCTCTGCCGCTCTGAGTAGTTCTACAACAGGCAGCCCTATCTCATGTCATCCATCCAATGAAGTCTTTGCCTGCTACTTCTTCTCCCTACTGGCACCGTGCCCTGCATTATTGTTTTGAACAGGCCGTTGGCTCGTATGGCATGCCCAAACCATCTCAGCTTTCTTGTTTTGACAATGCTCAGTAGACTCTCAAAGGACCAATCACATGAGTGGTCTTACAGGATTACGTCTCGCCCAAAACTACCGAAATAACACGCTCCCAGCAACTGTTAGAGTAGGATAATGTTACGGAACCATGGTTCAGAACGTAGCAGTGTTTGTGCTAGAGCCGGCCACTGATTTGAACGGTCATCGTGGGCTATCGTGTTACCTGTGAGGTGTGGAAATTGGCGCGATAAGTTCCGGTGGCTGAACGTGTCGATCTACCTGGGGGGTTCGCCCTCACGGTATAAATAGAGCTCGGTACTCAGGTGAGAATAGGACCGTTAACGACGGAGGGGAGAGGTGAAAACAGAACTGCTAACGAGGGGGGATGGTCTGGAGGTCCACTGGCCTTCAAGGTGATAGATGTACCTGTATGTGGGTAGCATAAGTTGTTGTGTTTTACCTGTATGTGGGTAGCATACGGTGCTGTGTTTTACCTGTATGTCCCTACATCGTTGTACTATATACACCCGTATTTGGTACTAGGTGTTTGGTTTACCTGTATGTTCTAACAGCGTTGTACTATATACACCTGTATTTGGTACAAGGTGTTTTGTTTACCTATATGTGTAGGTAGTATGTTGTACAATGGAAGAGGTCACGATGTGTTTGTTTTTGTATGTTGGTAGAACAAGGTGCTTTGTACACGTGTGTGCTCTGGTTTAGACCGTGTGGCTCTGTGTGGCTCTGGTTTAGATTGTGTGGCTCTGTGTGGCTCTGGTTTAGACCCTGTGACTCTAGTTTAGGTCGTGTGGCTCTGGTTTAGATCGTGTGGCTCTGTGTGGCTCTGGTTTAGATCGTGTGGCTCTGGTTTAGACTGTGTGGCTCTGTGTGGCCCTGGTTTAGATCGTGTGGCTCTGGTTTAGACTGTGTGGCTCTGGTTTAGATCGTGTGGCTCTAGTTTAGATCGTGTGGCTCTGGTGTAGATCGTGTGGCTCTGTATGGCTCTGGTTTAGATCGTGTGGCTCTGTGTGGCTCTGGTCTAGATCGTGTGGCTCTGTGTGGCTCTGGTTTAGTTCGTGTGGCTCTGGTTTAGATCGTGTGGCTCTGGTTTAGATCGTGTGGCTCTGGTTTAGTTCGTGTGGCTCTGGTTTAGATCGTGTGGCTCTGGTTTAGTTCGTGTGGCTCTGGTTTAGATCGTGTGGCTCTGGTTTAGACCGTGTGGCTCTGGTTAAGATCGTGTGGCTCTGGTTTAGATCTTGTGGCTCTGTGTGGCTCTGGTCTAGATCGTGTGGCTCTGGTTTAGATCGTGTGGCTCTGGTTTAGATCGTGTGGCTCTGGTTTAGTTCGTGTGGCTCTGGTTTAGATCGTGTGGCTCTGGTTTAGTTCGTGTGGCTCTGGTTTAGATCGTGTGGCTCTGGTTTAGACCGTGTGGGTCTGGTTAAGATCGTGTGGCTCTGGTTTAGATCTTGTGGCTCTGTGTGGCTCTGGTCTAGATCGTGTGGCTCTGGTTTAGATCGTGTGGCTCTGGTTTAGACCGTGTGGCTCTGGTTAAGATCGTGTGGCTCTGGTTTAGATCGTGTGTCTCTGGTCTAGATCGTGTGGCTCTGGTTTAGATCGTGTGGCTCTGGTTTAGATCGTGTGGCTCTGATTTAGATCTTGTGGCTCTGTGTGGCTCTGGTCTAGATCGTGTGGCTCTGGTTTAGACCGTGTGGCTCTGGTTAAGATCGTGTGGCTCTGGTGTAGATCGTGTGGCTCTGGTTTAGATCGTGTGGCTCTGATTTAGATCTTGTGGCTCTGTGTGGCTCTGGTCTAGATCGTGTGGCTCTGTGTGGCTCTGGTTTAGATCGTGTGGCTCTGGTTAAGATCGTGTGGCTCTGGTTTAGATCGTGTGGCTCTGGTTTAGATCGTGTGGCTCTGGTTTAGATCGTGTGGCTCTGGTTTAGATCGTGTGGCTCTGGTTTAGATCGTGTGGCTCTGGTTTAGATCGTGTGGCTCTGGTTTAGATCGTGTGGCTCTGGTTTAGATCGTGTGGCTCTGGTTTAGATCGTGTGGCTCTGGTTTAGATCGTGTGGCTCTGGTTTAGATCGTGTGGCTCTGATTTAGATCTTGTGGCTCTGTATGGCTCTGGTCTAGATCGTGTGGCTCTGGTTTAGATCGTGTGGCTCTGGTTTAGACCGTGTGGCTCTGGTTAAGATCGTGTGGCTCTGGTTTAGATCGTGTGGCTCTGTATGGCTCTGGTTTAGATCGTGTGGCTCTGGTTTAGACCGTGTGGCTCTGGTTAAGATCGTGTGGCTCTGGTTTAGATCGTGTGGCTCTGTATGGCTCTGGTTTAGATCGTGTGGCTCTGGTTTAGATCGTGTGGCTCAGGTTTAGATCGTGTGGCTCTGGTTTAGATCGTGTGGCTCTGTGTGGCTCTGGTGTAGATCGTGTGGCTCTGGTTTAGATCGTGTGGCTCAGGTTTAGATCGTGTGCCTCTGGTTAAGATCGTGTGGCTCTGTGTGGCCCTGATTTAGATCGTGTGGCTCGTTATGGCTCTGGTGTAGATCGTGTGGCTCTGGTTTAGATCGTGTGGCTCTGGTGTAGATCGTGTGGCTCTGGTTTAGATCGTGTGGCTCTGGTTTAGATCGTGTGGCTCTGTGTGGCTCTGGTCTAGATCGTGTGGCTCTGTGTGGCTCTGGTTTAGATCGTGTGGCTCTGGTTTAGATCGTGTGGCTCTGGTTTAGATCGTGTGGCTCTGGTTTAGACCGTGTGGCTCTGGTTTAGATCGTGTGGCTCAGGTTTAGACCGTGTGGCTCTGGTTAAGATCGTGTGGCTCTGTGTGGCTCTGGTTTAGATCGTGTGGCTCTGTGTGGCTCTGGTTTAGACCGCGTATTACTACAGACACGATACATGTGTGGCTCGGCTCGTGTCGTACAACTAACTATAAGGTAGAAACAGTATCGTATCACCCACCTGTAGAAGTTAATGGCTGGAGTTCTGTTCACCTGTCTCAGGTAACCAGGTCTGTTAGAGGGCCAGTTGACCTTTCCTGTGTTGTAATGACCCTGTAGTGTAAACACTACTCCTCCCC